CTAGTGATTGGTGGCAGCGTATACAAACACAAGGATATCCACAAGGCTACATGGGTGTCACCAGATGGGCGAACCAAAAACCAAATTGACTTCATCTCAATATCAAGGAAGTGGAGGCGCAGCCTACTGGACACGAAAGTAAGAGGAGCAGACGTTGGCTCAGACCACTACCTCCTACAAGGAACAATCCAAATCGAATTAAAAGCTTTCAGAGAAACAGGAGCTGCAGATAGACCACAAGCCAAGTTCAACACTCAAAAACTGAAGGACCAGGACACAAAGGACATCTTCACTGCAAGCATAAAGGACAAAGCCGAGACACAAATCAACACTAGCGAAGAGGTCAGCGTCGAAAAGCACTGGAACAACTTGAAAACAGCGTGGAGTCAAACCTGTATGGAAGTTCTAGGCAGAAAGAAGAGACAGGACAAACAGTGGCTCACTACGGACACTTGGAGACTGATAGAAGAGAGAGGGATGGTGAAACAAAAGATTCTCCAGTGCACCGACGAGCAACAAAAACAGGATTTGAATGCAGGCTACAAGACACTGAACAAAAGAGTAAAGAAGAGTGCCAGGGAAGACAAAAGAAAATATTATGAAGCCATGGCAAGTGAAGCAGAACAAGCTGCAGGCAAAGGAGACCTCGCAACACTCTACCAAACAACTAGGTACCTATTGGGCAAACGTTTGACACAAATCAAGCCGGTGAAGGATGACAATGGAAAGTCACTCACCAAAGAAGTGGAGCAAAGGAAACACTGGGCTGAACACTTCAAAAGACTCCTAAATCGACCACCACCTACAACGCGCCCAACAATACCAACGACGGAGACGGAGCTACCAGTGAACACCAACCCCCCGACGAAATCAGAAGTCCTGAAGGCAATCAAGATGCTAAAAGCTGGAAAAGCAGCAGGACCAGATGGAATCCCAGCAGAAGCATTGAAAATGGACCCAGAGACAACAGCGGACTTGATGACGCCACTACTGGAGAAGGTGTGGAAAGAAGGCAAAGTACCCGAGGATTGGAAGAAAGGGTACTTATTCAAACTACTAAAGAAAAGAGACTTGAGTCAATGCAAGAACTGGCGCGGAATTATGCTCCTGTCCATCCCAAGCAAAATACTAAGCCGCATCATCCTGGAGAGAATCAAACAAGCCCTGGATGGAAAGCTTCGACCGGAACAGGCTGGATTCAGGAGAAACAAGTCATGTATTGATCAGATCGCCACATTACGGATCATCATTGAACAAAGCTTGGAATGGCAGTCACCTCTCTATCTCAACCTCATCGGCTTTGAAAAGGCATTCATCACCGTCGATCGAGAGGTGATTTGGCAACTACTTCGCTACTATGGGGTGCCACCGACAATTATACATCTCATCCAACAGCTGTACGACAATGCTGCATGCCAAGTAATCCACAACGGGAAACTTACGGAATCCTTCGAAGTGAGGACAGGAGTAAGACAATGCTGCCTACTATCGCCAATGATTTTCCTGATTGCAGTAGACTGGATAATGCGACAAACAGCGGGCAATGAGGAAACAGGCATAAAATGGACTCACACAAAAAACTTGGGGGATCTGGACTTCGCCGATGATATATGTCTGATTTCCCACAAACTGGAAGATATGCAAGCGAAAAGCAACAAGTTGGCGATAGAAGAAGCATCAAAGATAGGACTGCAGGTGAACATAGAGAAAACAGAGGTAATGAAGATTTCTGGACATGAACAACAACAACAACAACAGACAACGATCAGCATAAATGGGAGGGACCTGAAAGAAACAACCTCTTTTACCTACCTGGGAAGCATCGTTTCAGCAGGTCTACTACTTTCATTTATAATCTAGCATTTCAAACATAGTCTTCCCGAATGTCTAACGTCGCTCTGAGAGCTATTTCTATAGCTATAGGTGTATTCTTCATATTCTTTGGGACATTGAAACTAGCCCCATTATTTTCCGATGAGTTATATCGTAGTGTGAGAAAGAGTTCCATTAGAATGCTTCAAACATTTCCGCTTAGTTCATTGACTGGATGGAATGTTAGTCCTCATGTGATTAGGCGAGTTTATGGAGCAATGGAAGTTGTCGGTGGTGTTTGTACTTGCATCTTGTCCAGGTATCGCACAAGTTGTCAGCAATGTTGTACTGCTTGTCTTGGTGTTACTCCACTTGTTTGGCGTTTTGTGTGCAGGAGATGGGTTAAGAGAAGCATCCAATGCTATTGTATTATGCTTGATGTTGACCTGCAGATTCATCATAAGAGCTCAAGTGAGTTTGTTTTTTCTGTGAAAATTATGCTTTCACAGTAATACTTTTCAAATTTGTATGTAAGTTGCGTATTTATTTAGTGCTTTGGGATTTGGAGGTGTGGTTTACTGGATAATGCATTTATGCGTCGGTGGCACAGCGGTTATGACTCTCGCCGATCACGCACATGGTCCGGGGTTCGATCCTCTGCCGACGCACACCTGATATCTATGGTCGGCCTGCAAAATTTGGGCTACCGATATCACATGCTGAAAATTCCATACCTGTACCAAAAAATACGGTGCGGAATCAAGCTGTAATAAAAAATCAAAATCAAACTACAGGCGAACGGAACTGACGAGGATATCAAAGCAAGAATCGGAAAAGCAAGACAAGCTTTCACTACTCTCAAGTCTGTGTGGAGGTCAACAGCACTCAGCATCAAAAATAAGATCCGGATTTTCAACCCCAATGTGAAGTCAGTGCTACTATACGGATCAGAGACTTGCACTGCGCGTCATAAAGAGCATCTCAAACAAACTACAGACCTTCATTAACAGTTGTCTTCGCTCAAGATCAGATGGCCAGAAAAGATCAGCAACAGGGATCTCTGGGAGCGAACCAACCAGGAACCGATTGTGAAACAAATAGGCAAGAAGAAATGGAGATGGATTGGCTGGTCATACTCTGAGGAAACCATCAAGTGACATCACTAGACAAGCCCTTGAGTGGAAACCGAAAGGGAAGCGGTGAGTTGGTCGTCAGTGCAAGGGTGACTTGGAGGAGGTCATGTGAAGAGGAGATGAAAACGTGTGGATAGACTTGGAGCCAGGTAAAGACTCTAGCAGAGAACCGAACGCAATGGAGACGCACCGCTGAAGCCCTATGTTCCTCTAGGAATTGAAGGAAATAATAATAATAAAGAATATGATTGACAACTTTGAACTCTACAAGAGATACGTTGACGACACCTTCATCATCTCCAACAACGAAGAGAATTTAGAAGATATCTTCAACAACTGCCATCCTGCGATTCAGTTCACACTAGAGAAAGAGTGTAACTCAAAGATATCTTTTCTTGATGTTCAACTAACGAGACGCCAACAAGACGGAACATTAAAAAGATCCATCTACAGAAAGCCAACGTGGAACGGACAGCTCACTAACTTCCACAGTTGGGTGCCTCCATATACTAAACGAAACCTAATCCGTTCATTAAGCCAAAGAATACGTAGAATTTGCAGCCTGGACGCCATAAAAGATGAAATGAACACTCTTAAGAAAATCCTCCTTGAAAATGGCTATCCAGAAAGATTTATCACACAATCAATGAAACCCAAACCAGAGAAGCCGCCCACACCCAGTGCTCCAAAAAGACTTCTCTATATGAACCTACAGTTCAATGGAGACCAATCTACAGAAATACTGAGTAATCGGCTTTCCCGCTCATTGAAGAAAAGCTTCTTTGCAGCTGAATTACGACTGAATTACGACGTCGTATATATATATATATATATATATATACAAACACGATAATATTTGTTGGCCTTTAGGTTAATGTTGCATTTCCCACTAATTGATTATGTTGGACCGAAATACTTCCTCTCTGCTGACACGTAAGCATCTAGTACGGATACTTTGGCTTTTCAATTCAACGCAATCACCCGAAGGGAATTCCAAAATTAACCTGAAAACAAAAAAATGACCTAGTAGATAAGGCTTTGGTGTTTGAAATAACGGGTGCTGGGTTTGAGCCTTGCTGGGAAAACCATCACTAATTGGGAATGTAGATACATTCAGTCGATGAGTCCCACATAGAACGAAATGCGCATCCCCAATCCCACTTTCATTCATCACTAACCAGAATAACCATAAAATTTGGTGTTGAGGCTGTGGTGGTTAATAAGTTTAGTCTGTCGGTTAATTAAAAAGTTGGAATCCCCTCCTACTTACCAAGATTTCGTCACAGCGTATATAAAGAGATATAACCTGCAATTTGATACATATAACTTGGAAGAACCATTTACAGATTTGTATTGATTTGCGTAAACGCAGTCTTTGCCATGAGTCCAAGTGATAGTTAACTTCAGGAAGAAGATGCATTGATATATACCAACTACATGTCTCGTATTAGGAATAAATAAATAATTCTTCAGCTCCAAGGTCCTTAATAGGTCATAGTTGATATCAATTAGTAATCAAGTCACTGAATCAGTGAACTTCAAACAACAACAACAAGGATATGGTTCAGACACTTGGCACGAGCGTTATTCCCAATAGCCTGCTGCTGCTGCATACATTCATCAACAGTTTCTTTCGCTTCATACCGAAGACTGGAAAGGATTAGCGACAAGAAATTCTGGCAACTAACCAACCAAGGACCTAACGCCCAAAAAATAAATGTGCAGAAGGAAATGCAGCTGTTTTGGACACACGTAGAGGAGACTATTGAGTGACATTACGCGCCAGATTCTAGAGAGGAATGCAGATAGGAAAAGACGAGTCAGACTTCCTAGAGTGATGTGGAGGAGGACATGGAAGCTTATGGGGATTCAACGGGCTAGCCAAAAAGGGATTGGAGAGGACAGGATAAAACCAATTGTGGCGGCACACTGACGATAACAATTCAACAACAAACCAGTTATTTAATTAATACTACACTGACTGAATAAGTCACACACACACACACACACATGATAATCAGAACTAAAACTACGCATTACTACTTTTCAACGTACCCAATTCCTCATCTGTAAACTCCAGAAAAGTGTTTTCTTCATTCAAAGCACGATTGAAATCAATAGACAATCGACTTTCTTCCTTACTCAAACTTTCTATCACTTTTCTGGTATTATCATCCAAATGAAGACCTGATAAGTAAGATTACTTTGTTTTTTTAATAAGAAGGACAAACCATTTCTGCGTCCCAACTGAACTTTCCTATTTACATAACGACGATATTCATCAGAGAAGGATGAATCCATTTTTGTTTGAACTGAGACAAATTTTTCAAATACATCCTTTCGCATTCTAAAAAACGCAAAAGTTAATGAAAAGGAAAATGTGATTGGTGATTTTTGCACGCAAAGTTCGACAACGAACTCATTTTCGTAGCACAAACAGATTAGTCTGTTTTAAAGGATGGCAGAAACCAGGTTAACAAAGTAGGTGAGGAAAAACGTGTAGGCTGAGTAAACAAGTCATTTTACACAAAGAAGAATTAAAACTGTCAGACTGACATACCAAAGTAGTTGTATTGTATTACTGAGACTGTTACTACCTAGGGACAGACAGACAGAGACCCTCATCAACAACATTTAATCAAGTTTCAGATGTGAGTTAGCCGCCTAATGAAAAACAGAACTATGTCGTTCAAAACTGTTATCCCTAGCAGTTCCACAACTGCATACAATAAAAATGGCTTATCGTGAGAATTTATGTCTTCTTATATGCACTAATCATCTACAGAAAAAAATCTTTAGACACGTTAGCTGATGTAGACGGCACCGAGAAACCTTTTACCTAATGGGTGCACTTTTAAGTCAGAATATATTCAATTTTGTCACCGGGTGGTAACAACTTGAGCCGTTTGGTGTCAAGTTATCGACATCTTCACAGTAAGTGTCTCCAATGTGATCAATGACTTAAAGAAAGTGCAAATAAGTATCGGAGGTTGGGAAGTCATAAACCCTATCAAGATTTATCATGCGATTATCTGACAATGACTCCCATGGATCAACTTCATGCTTACTATCCAGATAAAATAGGAAAGAAATTTGTTCCCAACAAAACGAACTTATCTGTCCAAATTATGCCACAGTAAGAGTGACTCATTCTATCAAGCGATGATGAACGTAGTGGAACCTGAAAAGGTTAGTGGTTTCTTTCAAAACACTGAATGTGGTATTCTTCTTATTCTTTTAAAAAAAGCCAGTGATACAACACTGGATACCAACACTAAACTGGTACACAGTAACCTCATAAAGGCTTTAACTAGAATGAAGAGGTGATCAAAGTAGCCAGTTAAGATTAATGGATGAAACTACTTGAAATGTAAACAGAATGGCTATAGAAATCATCTAACTGACTAGCTTCCGGTTAAAATTCAAACCAGTGTCTAGCTATTTCCATCTTCATGTGCTCAACCCAAATGAAAACTTTTGGGGTATTCGTGGGAAATTTCAGGGCTTTTGGTGGTAACTTGTAGGAAGTGTAATTAAGATAACTATCCATACCGATTAGGGAAGAAGAAACCCGCATGAAAAATTGAACTGAACTATCCAGCTAGCATCGACTTCGGGCGCACTTCAGAATGTGTGGGGCAGACTTCAGGTGCATTACAGAATGTTTGGGGCATTGACATGAAGGTTCATTGGTTAGAAATCAACCAATGGGAGTAACCCATACCTACTTCTCCACCCGACGACAGATGACTTTGCTCAATAAATGCGTTACAATGAATCTGAATTAGTCATTAGTACTGCACAAAATTTAAAAAAATAGCTTCCATATATAAGTAATCAATGAAATATAGTCTTTACGTTCTGAATACATTCTAGTAGGCCTTTTCATCAGAAGTCCTTTACTGGAAAGGAATCCATCTTAGGAAAGAACCAGTTGAATTCACACTTTGTATTTCCACTGCAGTGAGTAATCTGACTGTATGCCAAACCCCATCTAGTATTTTGCTGACACTTTTTTTGATTTTTTTTTAGCTAACATGAGTTTTAACGGTTCTTCGTTCAGCCGGACTAATCCACTAAACGGCTTCATTGAAAACAGACCACCACCTAATGTCGAAACATACCGTCGGAAGAATTTGAGACTACGTAAGTTTACTTACTTATCAATTATCTGTTACGATGCAGCGAAAGCTAATTTTGACCTAAGACGACATAAGTCAACATTCTATCAACGTCTCAAGAAATGCAATCTGGAGTGGAAGAAGCATTTAGAAGGTTACTTGTTGTTTCATATTAATGTACTCAGAATCATATGCAAAATCCCGTGAAACAGAACCAGAGCAAGAAACAAACCCAGTAAACATCTATACTCCCCAAATCATTGTCGTTCCAATTGATGTGCCTTGTAATAGCATAGCATCTCCACCGTCAATGGAAGAACGTTTTCCGACTGAACCGTCGTCTGCAACTGAGAAAGCTGACCGGAGCGAGTACACTTCACTGGATGCCATTCGCAACATCGTCTACAGATGCAAGCTGAGTTTGGCTAATACACGTACTGTGCTGGAAGAATTAAGGCCCCTGCATGCTGACCTGCCGACCGACCCTTGGAAATTGATGAGGACTAAGACGTTTTTCAAAGGAGACCAGTTTGTCCCGGGAAATATGTTCACATTGGCCTTCGTCGTCAGATTCAGTCCCGGTTACAAATGATCAAATATGAAGTCTCTATGACAGTAGATCTGCAGCTGAACATTGATGGTGCTCCAATTTTAAACATTTCCAAATTGCAGATGTGGCCTATACGAGGGAAGTTGATGTTGTCTGGCTGTGACAAGGTATTCTTCATAGGTGTCTACTGTGGTTGATGTAAACCTGTAAGTATACACACTTTTTTAAGGAGCACTATTGTCGAATTAGAATGCATATGTGCTAATGGTATCACATTACCCAACAGCCATCACATTGACATTGTACTAAAGGGCGTCATCTGTGACACATCAGCAAGGGCACTAATAAAGCAAATAAGCGATCGTAATTCAACCCAAGGATGGGATAAATGCTAGGCTCTATGCCATCGTTCAAATAATCACGTGGTTTTTCCTACTTCATGTGCCGTTCTAAGAACAAACGCCGGTTTTCGCAGGCGAACGCTGCCATGACACCTAAGGGTAAATCTCCTTTCGAGAGATTGCATGTAGACATGATCAGTTTTTCCTCTAGACAGCATGTATCTCATATACTTAGGAGTAGTTCGAAAGTTGATTGGCCTGTGGAAAGTGATGGCCACAGGTAGGCAAGATAGTATGAACAATACTATTTTAAACACTTAACTCTCGACTACTTAGGTCACATAAGTTAAGTCCTTCTGAATTCCAACGTGTGTCGAACCTCAGACGAGGTTGACCGTTGGAAAGCAACAGAGTGCCGGGTGTTTATTTTATATTTAGTAGTCGTCTACTTGAAAGACGTATTACAACCTTGCTTTTATGACAATTTTTTCGACTTATTCCTAGCCTGTTACACCTTAAGTCATCCAATTTATTCTTCGTATTACCTGGATGACGTAAAAAATCTATTAATGAAATTCGTAGGGAACTTCAGGTCATTATTTGGGGAGGATAACATGGTGTACAATGTTCGTGGCTTACTGCACGTACGTGAGGACGTATGACAGCACGGACCACTAGACACTTTCTCTTGCTTCCCATTTGAGTCTAACATACGTTTCCTACAGAGTCTAGTCACAGGTCCCAATAACACAGCAGTCAAAATAGGTAGACGTCTAGGAGAAAGATGCTTAGTGGAAGCTAACTCGACCAAAGTGGAGATTACCACTAATGCATCTGTAAGTGTGTCTAAGCAGACTGCTACTTTTTCCATTCTTAAAGTAACGTCATTTCCTCCAGACAATTGCTTTTTGGTAGGCGATACACCAGGGGTTATTTATGAAATCATTAACGAAAAACAGTTGAGATTTTGTGCCTATAGAAAGTCCAATGCTTTTTTTGAACAACCATTGGATTCTAGGGATATTGGAATATATCAGGTAGACAACTTAGAGAGTGAGACAAGTATTCACACTTTCAGTGAAATTCGGGTGAAGTGCATTAGCTCAAGTCTTTTGCATAACTCCGTTGTCATTTCCACATTGCACACCTCTAAACTGTCGTAGTTTAATAACTACTCATTAGTTCACATGCAGCCCGATATCAAGGATACAACCAAATGGTGAGCTTCTTCTTGTATTTAGTTGCCTTAATTATAATACACACACACTTTTCTATCAACATACGTCTTGCAAGCTTTCCCTTCTTCCTATGTCCCTACTGGCGTACCTAAAAGTGGTACATTATTTGCAGATGATTAAGCAGTCCATGGTAGTCACGGTCCCTGCCATAGATAAGATTTTGGTAGTTAGCGAGGTGTGGGCGACTGGTAGATCATTGATCATACCACGGTCGTTTACATGTGATGAAGTCATGGGACATGCAGAGGCTGCCCCGGGTTCCATGACTTATGAGTTCCTCCTTTTGAGGTGCTACAGTAACGTGACATTTTTTACTTATGTTCCTTTTCAGACAATTTTGAGGAGGCAGTTGCAGTGAAAACTGCATCGGGATTGTTGCACGCATCACTTAGACGGTCGTCATCTGAAGATACGGAGTCTGCAAGCCATTACAGGGTAAACCTGTAAGCTGTTATTCTTGGCTGATCTTCCTAGTGTTATGAAACCGACAAGAAAGGTTTCGGTGGATGCGGCCCCTTTGAACTATCCATCTTGGTTGTTGGCTGACAGAGAATTTCAGTTCGATACAGCGAGTTTCCGAAAGCCACCGAATGTGAACAAAATGATAGGTATATTACAGTTAATTTAAAAAATTTCATTTCAGCTTGTCTTCTGTCGCTTCAACATCGAATACCTACAGTCCGTTACCCGTTGACATTTAAGTTTAATTTTATTTCAAATATTACTTGCAGGTTCCCGAGGACTGAGGAGTCAGATACTTGCACATCTGGTTTTTTGGAAGAGCTAAGGGCTATACGATCAAGCCAATACTCCTTCCAGTCACAAATGGAGTCACGTGTCACTGCCATTGAGGCTAAGCTCTCGCGACTCAAAGTGGTTGACGGCATTGGCCAGGATGTCTCCTGTATGAATTCTGTTCAAGTCTTGAAGTCTTCAGGCAAATAGCAGTTGGACAGCGACACTGTCATGTCATCCTTCGATACGAAACTGTCCGACCAGGAATACCGTCGTAGTGTGTCCGCCGACCTTGGCACTTTAGTTGTCTCCAGTGTCCAAGGCTCCGTTGGTCGTATCATGAATGTTTTGCTGGAGCCAACATACAGCACACAATTTTCATGGGCTGCTACCAAGGAGGAGCAATTCAAGGACACTAAAAGTGTAACCTTGTGATCCGTAAGTGAATATTGTTTTCATTGTAGTTTTTAGGAACCATTAACAGTTTCCACCAACAAGGCAGTGCTGATAAACGTAGCACAGGGGAAGCCTTCGTGATTTCCATTCAACGTTGGTCCCATAACAGTCGCGACAGACAGAAGTCGAGAATGAGAAAACAACGACGTTCCCCATTGGTATTTCTCTATTTTTTCTAAATTTAATTTTCAGATCACCGCCGACCGAAACCAGGAGAACAGACCAGATGCAGAAAGTAAACGGATGAATGTTTCTGGTGATTTATATGGTGTTTGACTTTTATGATACGTCAAAGCATTGTCAATTCATTTACCAAGAATATTAAATATGTTTTATTAAAGTCTATTGCTTTTGATGTGGTAAGTCTTTAAGGTAATACCAATGTGCTGTTTTTTGAGACGAGCTGTGTACATAATAGGTTTGCCTCTGTGTTGGCTGTTGACTAAGGGTTCAATGCATAACCAGACATGTAATCGCAGACTTTAGTCAGTCTCAGAAAGTTAGGGCGCACTGCAGAATATTTGGGGCAGGCTTAGGGACCTAATCCCACGTTCGGCAGTGCGCCCGAAGCCTGCCCCAAAAATTCTGCAATGCGCCCTACGTCTGCCCTTAACATTTTGCAGTGCGCCCGAAGAAAATGCTAGCTGGGTGCAAGCAAGCGAAAAATATAGAAACAGATACTTTAATAAATATAAAGCGCTAGTCACTCTTCAGTCAGGAAACGTGGATTCAAATATACTAATGTACTCACTCTAATTCCACTTCTACATCGGAAAGTTTGCGAGTAGCATCACAACTGGCATCTCTCATTTCCAAAGAAGGGTATGTGTGTTGTGGGAAGTCTAAGGCATTTCGTTCCGTCGAATAGACAGCTTCAAATAATGACATGGGCTAAAAATGTAACATTTCATCAGTATTATAAATTGAAGTTACCAAAACAACTGACTCAAAAGAAGCAGATTCAGATGCTGCCACCTTATCATACATAGAACGGGCATACTTGATTAGTGCTGAAGTCCTTGACACAATCTCTTCAACAGTAGAGGGCCAACGCAAGCGACAACCTGCAACGACAGACATTTTTCAAAATAGTGCTGACCTACACTGAATATTCAATGTTTCATGACGGGTTCAGATTCAATATCCAATATCATTTTTACGAGCTAGTATAAACCAATTTGATTTCTTTGTGCTCGCCTCTTGATTGTGAGGTAGAGGTTCCTGATCTTCGGTAAGCGTCTGCGTAGCTCGTCCCGCCACTCGATTGCCGTAGCTTTGGTTGACTCCAAAAGTAGTGCAGGGATTAATTATATGTGGTTTGTAGTGTGAAGTGTGTTAAGACTGTTACTACTAAGAATGGAGTTGGTCCTTTCATCAGTTGGTCCTTCGGTATCGTCGTCAATAGAAAAGAGATAATAATAATAGATATAATTAGTAAAGGTATTCAGACAGAAAAAGATTCAGATTCAGATTTAAGGATAGAAGGCTCTTGTTGCCTATGTTAATCCTCGCTATATATATCTCTGCAGAGATCCAGTTTCTCTTTGAAAGTGTTCACCGATGGAGCTGTTACTACTGAATCAGGTAAGGAGTTCCAGTCGTTGACCACTCTGTGAGAGAATCTAAACTCCAAACGTATTTTATCCAACCTCGGTTTGAGCACCTTCTTCTGGTGACCCCGTAAATGTATCCTAGAGGGAGAGAAAAGGTTTGAAAGGTCAATCCCTAAATCACCCTTGAATATACGGTAAGCCAAAATTAAGTCGCCTCTCCTCCTTCGGTATGATGATGGGAAGAGATTTAAATGCTCCATCCTCTTATCATAAGGAAGGTGTGAGATGCCATTAACTAATTTTGTTCCTACCCTCTGTACTCTTTCCAGGGTATGTGCCTCCTTTTTGAAGCATGGACTCGCCGCTTGTATGCAGTACTCTAGATGAGGCCTGATATATGTTGCATAGAGTACTTGGAACATACCCTCGCCTAATCGTTTGAAAGTCCTTCGAAGTGCCCATAGCATTCGAAAAGCCTTAGCTGCGGCTCGATTACAGTTTGCCGTTGTTTTTAAGTCATGGCTAACAATGATTCCTAAGTCCTTTTGTTCCCTAGCATCTGGCAGTTCTGTGTCCCTCATGGAGTACGACGTGTAAGACTTCTGACCTAAGTGCATTACCACGCTTTTCTTGGAGTTAATTTCCAGACTCCAAAGGTTAGCCCATTCGGTTAATTTGTCTAGATCGTTTTGTAGTACCAACCTATCATCACTACTATTTACGGTTTTCAATATCTTAATATCATCCGCAAATAGTAAGGAAGATGAGGTACGTATTATAAGAATAGCAGGGGGCCAAGTACAGTTCCCTGAGGTACTCCACTTAGTACTCAACAAGTCCTAAGTTAGTAGACTCGCTCAATAAAACGTACATTGCTGGCACGATTAGCCGTGCATCATCATTGAACTTGATGGTCACACGCACACCAGCATCTCCATATACCAACTTGGTAAATCAGTTTCCTGACCTTTTACAACCTTCTTTTCGAGGAACAGAACCAAAGCATCACGTAGTTCATCATAATAAAATCACTGGACCACCAGTTTTTGCACGTCCACGACGCCTTGACCCACATCGACTTAAAATCGCCAAAACAGAGTTCGATAAAATGCTAGAGCTTGGTATTATTCTACCGTCCAACAGCTCTTGGTCTTCACCGCTTCACATGGTACCTAAAAAGTCTTCTGGTGAGATACGGCCATGTGGTGATTATCGAGCTTTAAACAAGCAAACGGTACCTGATAGATACCCAATACCACATATCCACGATTTCGCTAGCAACTTACCAAATGTTAAAGTTTTCTCTAAAATCGATCTGGTCCGAGCGTATCATCATATCCCCATCCACCCGGATGACGTTCCGAAAACTGCCATTACCACACCATTCGGTTTATATGAATTCGTACGCATGCCATTCGGACTTATGAACGCCGCTCAGACATTCCAACGCCTAATTGACCAAGTACTCCGTGGTCTCCCTTTCGTCTACGCATACATCTATGACTTACTAATTGCAAGTGCAGACGAAGCCGAGCATTTGAAACATGTGAAGACAGTGTTTGAAAGACTGAACCAATACGGAATGACTATCAACTTAGACAAATGCGAATTTGGTAAGACCTCACTGAAATTTCTCGGTCATTTAATCGATAGCCAAGGAATCAGACCAGTCCCTGATGACGTACAAGCTATCAAAGATTATCCATTACCAGATTCTTTTAAGAAATTACGACGATTTTTGGGTCTCGTTAATTTTTACCGGCGTTTTATTCCGAACTGTGCCAAAGCTTTACAACCAGTAACCGATTGCTTACGTGGACATAGTCGTTCATTCCATTTGCCCGCAGAAGCTGTTAAAGCATTCGAAAATGTCAAACAATTGTTAAATGACAAGACGCTCTTAGTCAGACGTCAAAATGACGCCCCCTGTCTCTCATGACAGACACTTCAGACGTTGCCATCGAGGCAGTTTTACAACAACAGGTACACGGCGAATGGCAACCTCTTGCATTCTTTTCGAAACGACTGAATCCTACTCAATGCCGCTATAGCACTTTTGGTAGAGAGTTATTGGCTGTTTACTTAGCAATCAAGCACTTTCGACATATGCTGGAAGGTACAGCTTTTACTGTCTTTACAGACCATAAAGCTCTAACGAAAGTCTTATCAGCAAAACAGGATAACTACTCCCCGCGTGAACTACGACATCTCGAGTTTATATCTCAGTTCACCTCTGATCTGCGACATGTGAAGGGTAAACACAATGAAGTGGCAGACGCTTTATCACGTGTGCACATTGACAACATTGTATGCCCAGACATCGACTACGAACGTCTCTCAAACTTACAACGAGATGATGCCGAACTAAAGAAGATCATGTCTTCTAAAACAACATCTTTAAAACTAGACGCAGTTCCTTTTGGCACGACAAAAATAATCTGCGACACCTCTATGGGTAAATATCGACCTTTCGTTCCAGCAGCTATGACACATACAATATTCGAGAAGTTACATAAATTGTCTCATCCAGGTGTCAGCGCTACTATCAAACTACTGAAAGAAAGATTTATATGGCCGAACACTAACAGCGATGTTAAGAAGTGGACACGAAATTGCTTGTCCTGTCAAAGAGTCAAAGTCAACCGTCATACTAGTGCACCACTTGGTCGCTTTCCTAACCCTGACTCTAGATTTGAACATATACATGTAGACATAGTTGGTCCATTACCTCCTTCCAATGGTTTCAACTATATTCTAACTTGCATCGATAGATTCACTCGTTGGCCTGTAGCAGTTCCAATAGCCGACGTCTCAGCTGAAACGGTAGCTAAAGCTTTGGTCGAAAACTGGATAGCTAATTTTGGTGTCCCATCCATTATCACTACGGACAGAGGTGCTCAGTTTGAAAGCCGACTTTTTAACCAGCTAACTGAATTACTGGGCATTAAACGAATACGAACAACTGCGTACCATCCTAGTTCCAACGGTATGGTTGAACGACTTCATCGACAACTCAAAGCTGCGCTCGCTGCTTCTTTGACTCAAAACGACTGGTCAGCCAAACTCCCACTGGTACTGCTTGGTATACGATCTGCTCTAAAGAAAGATATTGGCTGCTGTGTTTCCGAGCTAGTCTATGGAACAACATTACGACTACCAGGAGAATTTTTCACCCCAGGTAACCAAGTTCCACAAGATATGACTGGTTATGTGCACCAGCTAAAACAACACATGAACGAGCTCAAGATATCACTTCCACGCCAGCAGGAACGAACGTCATACATCCCGCCACAACTGACAGATTGCACTCACGTCTTCGTCAGGAGAGAGGGTGTACAACGACCACTTCAACCCGCTTATGATGGCCCATTCAAAGTTCTAAATAGAAATGATAAAGTTATCACGATAGAACGACTGAATAAAGCAGAAGCCATCAGTGTCGACAGAGTCAAACCAGCGTTCATCGATGATTTCGAAGCCAACGATAAAAACCAGCTGAACGACATGCCAACACCTACATCCACGCAAGCTTCAACGTCGCCAGAGAAACCTATGAAAACTACACGCTCTGGTAGGAGAGTTCATTGGCCTAAACGTTATGTGCAAATCATCAAAATATAACTTACTACGAATTTTCATTTTTATTATCTTTGTTCGTAATTGTCATTTAACTACTCATTTAACTGATTAATATTTTCATACGTAAATCACGTCACTACTATTTTAACATCGATATTCCCTGTATTATTACATTTAATAATGTAGCGCCTTATATTCACGTATCGTTTCCGTATACAGACTACAGATCCCCGGCCGATTGTATCATTCCTTATATATTCTACCACGATCATCAATCCTATTTTTTCTTTTATTATCGCATTTATTATCGGCCTTATTGGCCGCATTAAATTGCTCATTTTTTCCGCTTAATAAATCGCTTTCTATGTACTATCGCTGCCACGTATTACGCTGACGCATTTTGTTGTCGAACACTTAAATGTATTTTTTTATATTTCAGTGTTCTGGTGGGGGAATTATGTAGTACCCCTGTACCAACTATAAACATACGATTTTAATCTAATTTGCATACTCATATTATATGTTTACACATACCGATTTTATATGTACTTCGTAAACATTTGTCAATTTACTGTTGAACGTTACCTTGGTACAATTTTGGAAATTTGACTACGGCTATAATACACGATTATACTCTTCACAAGTGCCTTCTGATTTTACGTTGTGGGCGTCGAGTAGCCACAACGTCTGCGCACATTGATAAACGTGAAGAAGTACTAGGAAATACGTGTACGCTCATTTAGTCAAACAGAACACGCAACAAGTCAAGCAGACAGCTGTTCATGAACGTCTACAATAACCCGCTAGAAATGATTGGACTGACGCGTATGTCTAGCCAGTGGACCATGTGGAAACGCTGGCTTCATATTAGCTTTAAACAATCGGATTCTATTAGATGTGCTGACTGCTGTGGATTTACAAATTCATTTCAGATTAACGAACGCTCCAATTCTAACTGGCTTTGACATCCT